TTGGGAGGCCGAGGTGAGTGGATTGCCTGAGCCCACGGGTTCGAGACCTGCCTGGGCAACCTGGCGAGACCTCATCTCTACAATAAACAAATAAAAAAAAATCAGCCGGGTGTGGTAGTGCGCGCCTGTAATTCCAGCTACTCGGAAGGCTGAGGTGGAAGGATCGCCGGAGCCCAGCAGGTCGAGGCTGCAGTGGCCAGGAGCGGCCACTGCCCTCCAGTCTGGGCAACAGAGTGAGACTCCAACTCAAAAAAAAAAGAATACAGTATATAAAACACATAACATATAAAATATGCTAATATGCTGTTTATGTAAAATCCACATGTAGAATCAATGCCATTTCTTCTCTTGGGCTATTTTCAGTATCTTACCATCGGCCACAAACTTACTCTAATAGGAAGATTGATTGCTAATTAGAAAGTACTTATTACACAACTAGCATTGTCTTGTGTTTCTTCCCATGGTTTAAATGGCAAAACAAAGTCAAAATAATCCTTAGCCGGGCTCAGTGGCTCAGCCTGTAATCCTGTGCCTTTGGGAGGCTGAGGTGAGTGGATTGCCTGAGTCCGCGGGTTCGAGACCCGCCTGGGCAGGCGAGACCTCATCTCTACAATAAATCAAAAAATTAGCCAGGCATGGTAGCATGCGCCTGTAGTTCCAGCTACTTGGAAGGCTGAGGCTGAAGGATCGCCGCAGCCCAGCAGGTCGAGGCTGCGGTGGCCAGGAGCGGCCACTGCACTCCAGTCTGGGCAACAGAGTGAGACTCCAACTCAAAAAAAAAAAAAAAATCCTTGATTTATAGTCTCAAAGTTTTCACCAAATCATATTGGGACAATAAAGTCAGTAAAGTCAATTTTATAAATTATACCAGCCTGGGGGCGTTTGCTCAGTCTGTAATCCCAGCACTTTGCGAGGCTGAGGCAAGAGGACTGCAGGAGCCCGGGGATTTGAGACCAACCTGGCAAGGTGGTGAGGTCTGGTCTCTACAATATATCTCAAAACCTAGCAGGGCATGTTCACATTTGTTTGTAATTCCTACTGGAAACGCTGAGGTGGAAGGATCACCTCAGCCCAGCATTTCAAGGCTGCAGTGGCTATAAATATAGCACTGCATTCCAACCTGGGCAACAAGAGTGAGACTCCGACAGAAAAAAACAAAGAACATACTAAGTGAAAGATATCAAAACTCCCAAATGTCTTCAATGATATTTTCAAGTTGTGAAGAATAAAATAGAAAGAACTAGTTTTAATATGTAACTAAACACATCCACTGTGTAGTACATTTTGACAGTGATTTCTGAACACCATTAAATTTCATTTCTTTTTATTTATTTTATTTATTTATTTTTTTTAGTTGGAGTCTCACTCTGTTATACAGACTGGAGTGCAGTGGCCGCTCCCATCCACGGCAGCCTCGACCTGCTGGGCTCCGGCAATCCTTCCGCCTCAGCCTTCCAAGTAGCTGGAATTACAGGTGCGTGCTACCACGCTGGGCTGATTTTTTTTTTTTTAATTTATTCTAGAGATGAGGTCTTACTGCCCAGGCGGGTCTCAAACCCGCGGGATCAGGCAATCCACTCACCTCAGCCTCACAAAGTCACGGAATTACAGGCTGAACTACTGAGCCCGGCTGTCTTTAGATTTTAATGTGAATGAAAATTCAATGTGGAACAAAGATAAAATATTTGTTTTCAGAATTTTAATTATTTTCGTTCCAATAAGGTCATTTTCTCTTTAGGTAGGCACACACAAACTCAACTTCGTCTTCCCTAGCTGTCTTACTCTTGAAGTTTTAGAGTGATATATATTTTATTCAGTATAAATAAAACCAAAAGTCTGTATCTGATGTGTAGCTTGAGAGAAATACGAGTACATAAAAACGTAAAATGAGATTTTAAAACACTCAGATTACAGAAAGCCATGTATTATGGTTTTACTCTGTGTAATCTTTATTAAAACCCAATAGCTACAAATATATATATATACATAAACCTTGGGAAAAAATAAGATACTAATTCATAAGGTACCCATGATATATAATCATATTTATTTCCCTACAAAATTGAATAAAATGATATTGGTTAGTGGCAGTGGCAGAAAAAATATTTCATTTTGTGCCTAAAATTCTTTAATGCATTATAAAAAATTCTCGGATTGGCCCGATGGCTCAAGCCAGTAATCCCAGCACGACGTGAGATAAGCCTAGGTGACTTGGTGAGACCTCATCACTACAATATAATAAATTAGCTGGGTGTGTTAGCACACATCTGTACTTCTAACTACTTGCAAGACAGGTAGAGGGATGTTCTAAATCCAGCAGGTGAATGCTGGGGTGGCCGTGAATGTGCCATGGCACTCCAGCCTAGGCAACAGAATGAGATTGCAACTAAAAAATATAAATAAAATAAAAAATTTCCTTTATTAAAAAATTAAGGTCACATAGTCTAAATAAATATTCCAAAGTTTGCTATATGTTACTAGTAAAAACACACCACAAACTTTTTTGTGTGTGATTTCTTTTTGTACAGATGGGCTCCTGATATGTTGCCGGGATAGCCTTGAACTTCTAGGCTCAAACAATCTCCCTGGTTTGGCCTCTCAAAGTGTTGGATATACAGGCATGAGCCCAGATTACAAACTTTCGAAAAGCATTTCTGTACTTCTGTTAGGTTGATATATGTGAGAGTGCACCTTGCTTCACATTTCAAAACTGAGGCTAATTATTTGCTAAAGATAAATTTTCAAGATACACCATTTCAGAAAGCAATTATTTTTTCTCTGATGTCTGTCAAAAGATCCCTACTTATACTTTAACATCAGGATTTCTTCCATATGCAATAGGCAAAGCACTTGATTTCTAAGACTGAATGTTTGTCTTTTATTTCAGCAACCAAAAAATTGTTATCCTGAGAACGTACCTCATGCAGGACTGGCAATACTGCTCAACATGAGCCATAAGGAATGTCTCTACTAAGACGTTTTAACTTATTTTGCATTTCACAGTCCTTCATTATCCATAGAAAAGTTGAGAAGAATGATGTTCACCTAGAAGGGTGTCATGGTTCTAATGTACAAACAACTGATCACATGCTTCTACATAAACACAAGGAATGAAGGCATGGCATCATGTGCTTTCAATTACATAAACCATATTTGCTCTTCAAAAAAACCCCAAAGTTTTGTCAATGCGAAAACAAAAGTATACATGGAATATACTCATGCCTCTCAAATGAAAAATCAATCTGATCTTATTCAACATATAAGATGATAATTTAGCAAGTGATTATTTTGTATCTAGCTTGTATTTTGACAATTGTTCTTCCAATCATTGTGGCATATGTGCCAAGTAAGAATTCTCTGATGTTGAGAAATGTTGGAGTAACAGTGAAACATTGTCACATACCTTACAGTTTTGTTTTTGTTTTTTTGAGTCAGAGTTTCACTGTGTAGCTTAGGTTGGAGTGCAGTGTCACACTCACGGCTACCCCAGCGGTTACCTGCTTGTCTCCAGCAATCCTTCCACCTCAGCACTTCAAGTAGTCAAAACTACAGGCCCACATTTCCATGTCCAACTAATTTTTTGATTAATTGTAGAAACGAGGTCTCACCAGGTAGTCTGGGCTGGTCTTGAACCCACAGGCTCAGGCAATCCATTCATCTTGGTGTACCAAAGTATTGGGATTGCAGGCTAACCACCAAACACAGCCTCATTCTTTACGTTTTCAGGGATTCCCTCTAGTATGAATTTTCTGATGTCGAGTAAGACTTGTGCGGCACAGAAAGGCTTTGCCACATTCTTCACATTTGTCGGGGTTATTTCCAGTGTGTACTCTCTGATGCCGAATAAAACTTGAGTACCAATGAAAGGTTTTGTCACATTTTTCACATTTGTAGGGTTTCTCTCCAGTATGGACTCTCTGATGTTTAAGATGAGCTGAGTACCTAGTAAAGCCTTTGTGACATTCTTCACATTTGTAGGGTTTCTCTCCAGTATGGATAAACACATGTTCAGAACAGCTTTTTTTAGTGACAAAGCCTTTGCCACAATCTTTACACTTGTAGGGTTTCTCTCCAGTATGGACTCTCTGATGTTGAAGATGATCTGAGTACCTACTAAAACTTTTGTCACATTTTTCACATTTGTAGGGTTTCTCTCCAGTATGGATACGCATATGTTCAGTACAACCTCTTTTAGTGAAAAAGCCTTTGCCACATTCTTTACATTTGTAGGGCTTCTCTCCACTATGGACTCTCTGATGTTGACGATAAGCTGAGTACCTTCTAAAGCCTTTGTGACATTCTTCACATTTATAGGGTCTCTCTCCAGTATGGATTAACATATGTTGAATAAGTTCTTTTTTACTGCAAAAGGCTTTGACACATTCTTCACATTTGTAGGGTTTCTTTCCAGTGTGAACTCTCTGATGCTGAATAAAACATGAGCGCCAATTAAATGCTTTGTCACATCTTTCACATTTGTAGGGTTTCTCTTTAGTATGGATTGTCATATGTCCAATAAATCCTTTTTTAGTGCGCAAGACTTTGCCACATTCTTTACATTTGTAGGATTTCTTTCCAGTGTGGACTCTCTGATGCTGAATAAAACTTGAGTGCCTATTAAACACTTTGTCACATTCTTCACATTTGTAGGGGTTCTTTCCAGTATGGACTCTCTGATGTCGAAAATTATGGACTCTCTGATGTCGAAAATGATATGAGTACCTACTAAAGCTTTTGTCACATTTTTCACATTTGTAGGGTTTCTCTCCAGTATGGATACGCATATGTTCAGTACAGCTTCTTTTAACAAAAAAGGCTTTGTCACATTCTTTACATTTGTAGGGTTTCACTCCAGTATGGACTCTCTGATGATGAAGATGATCTGAGTACCTCCTAAAGCTTTTGTCACATTTTTCACATTTGTAGGGTTTCTCTCCAGTATGGACTCTCTGATGTCGAAGATGACGTGAGTATCTACTAAAGGCTTTGTGACATACTTCACATTTGTAGGGTTTCTCTCCAGTATGGACTGACATATGTTCAGTAAGTCCACTCTTACTGCAAAAGGCTTTGACACATTCTTCACATTTGTAGGGTTTCTCTTCAGTATGGATCGTCATATGTCCAATAAATCCTTTTTTAGAGCACAAGACTTTACCACATTCTTCACATTTGTAGGATTTCTTTCCAGTGTGGACTCCCTGAGGCTGAATAAAACTTGCGTGCCAATTATGTGCTCTGTCACCTTCTTCACATTTGTAGAATTTCCCTCCAGTATGGAATCTCGTTTGTCCATGAAGTCCTTTAAGCATGGAAAAAGCATTGTAACATTCCAGAAAAAAATGTATTATAATTACTTGTAAAACATTTTCATGGGATAATTTTAAGGAATAACCACTTAAATGATAGTACCGAAACCTGCAAATTGTATGATTAATATACTGCTGTTAGTTTACACCAAAGGAATGGCAATGAGTTACACTTTATTAGAAAAGTTTGTTTCTAAATACTAGAAACAGCATGAGTATTATAAACTATGATATGAAACACTGGTATATAAATGAACTACTAGGAATATTTGATACTATTATACACATACACATTGAGGAAAGTAGAAGAAAATGCTCAATAAAAAGTATATCTATGCAATAAACTTAAACATAAAAATATTAAATTTAGGGGCTTAACAACGATCGAATTCACTTTTTAAAATTTTTTTTGAGTTGGAGTCTCACTCTGTCGCCCAGACTGGAGTGCAGTGGCCGCTCCTGGCCACCACAGCCTTGACCTTCTGGGCTCCGGCAATCCTTCCACCTCAGCCTTCCGAGTAGCTGGAATTACAGGCAT